AATAAATAAATAAACTGTTGTTTTTTCTCTAAAGTAACATACCCTTGTAATTTTGCTTTGAGATTTTGCAAAATATTTTTTCTGGGTTTGAGCCAAGAGTTCTTGTCCACCTGCTATTGCCAATATAATGGCATCTGCCATGCGGTTATCATGTAAACAAAGGTCAACAGCACTCTCAAAATTACCCGTCAGCAAAGCCTGAGTAATTAAACCATCAACATCTGGAACAAGGAAATATAATACACCTACATTAAATAAAGTTTTGCGTTACAAAAAAAAAACAAAAAAGCACAAAAAAGAAAACACACACACAGAATGTAATGCTAATTTCTGAATAATATTAACGGTAGATTAATTTATAACACCAGCTACTCATATTTACAGGAGAGATTTATGGAATATACTAAGCTATACACAAAATTACACATTTTCCAGATTGCTTCAATCGGATTACATAGCTTCTATCACTTAGGTGTGAAAGAAACACACCACCATCTCCAGGGCACTTATTACATATACTAAATGCTAACTGATTTCTTTATCAACCTTCTTTACCACCTATGACAAGACATTTCTAATTTGAACTTAGGAACTACATATTACGCCGTCAACTGGCTTAAAACAAGACAGAAATCAACACCAATAGATACTCACCACCGCTGACAGAAATATTAAATGTTCCTCCAGCTGAGGGTAAAAATTCAGATTCTTGTTTTTCCTCTTTAATTCTCTAAAGAGATGGAAAGAGTAGCGATATTCTATAGAATAAAACTATGAAATAATTTACTAGTGAAACAAATGTGTATATGATTATCACCTACCGACTAGATGACACTGTAGGTTATTCCAGAGAAGTTCTTAGATCTAAGTTTTCACTATGATATATAACTTCCCCAATTATTAATTTCCATTATATAATCATAAATAAAATCCAAGGTCATTAGAAATAATGTTAAGCAAATTTAAGTGTAAAGGAAAAAAAAATGTAAGTATATATGTCCATTACTGTTAGCTCAGAAGTTATTTAAGCTGAAGAATCTTTGTTTTCTAAGATACATAAACTGAATAGCTTGAAACATGAAATGTACATTTTTTAATTACACTGTATTTAATATTAGCTCTGCTTCTATACATTTAAAAGTTCCTGTGTACAAGGTTAAATAACAAGATCTTTTTTATGTTAACTGAATCAGTCAAGAAAAATCACTATTTTCTTTCTTTGGAGAAAAAGAAAATAATGAAGGCATTTTGCTGGCAAATACTTCAAATGCTTTCTCTTTCATGCACAGAAATTCAAATGACCTAGAAAAATGTATCATAGATATTAGAAAATTTTAAATAATTTAGTTCTCTTGCATGAGAGATGTATGTTCTGTGACTGTGTTATCTACACGTGTGAACACTGCCTCACAGTATTCAAGGCCAGGCATTTTTGGATTGGAGAATTTTAGCACAGTGCATAGCACAGCATCATCTGTAAATAATGCTTAATTAATTGTTGTTGTTATGTTGTTAGGTGCCGTCGAGTCGCTTCCGACTCATAGCGACCCCATGCACAGCAGAATGAAACAATGCCCGATCCCACGCCAGCTCCATGATACTTGCTATACTTGAGCCCATTGTTGCAGCCACCATGTCAATCCATCTCGTCGAAGGCCATCCCCTCTTTCGTCGACCCTCCAACCTTACCAAGCATGACATCCTTCTCTAGGGAATGGTTCCCTCTGACAACATGACCAAAGTAGGTGACACGAAGTCTGGCCATCCTCTCTTCCAAGGAGTATCTCGGCTCACTTCTTCCAGAACAGATGTTAGTCTTAGCAGTCCATGGTACTCTCAGCATTCTTCGCCAGCACCACAATTCAAAAGCATCAACTTTTCTTCGGTCTTCCTTATTCACCGTCCAGCTCTCACATGCATA